AGCAGCCAATGACTGACCAAAGTGCTTTACAGAACAACAAAATTAAAAGACACTAACACCATGCATAGCAGCACATCATAGAACAGTACAGCAAAGATAAGAACAGCTTAGAACGGAAGAAGCACAAGCAATCATAGAGTTATCAAAAATAAACAACAGAAAGGACATATAAACATACACACACACACATATACATATAGGTATATGTATATACAAAGATACTCATACATAAACAACCTTAATTATAGGCCAAAGAAAACAAGTGCGTTTTTAAAAGTGACTTAAAAGAGATCACAGAAGGGGCTATCCTAACGTCTAAGGGCAGATTGTTCCACAGCCGAGGCCCAACCACAGAAAAAGCTCGATCCCCTCTGCGTTTAAGTCTGCAGTGAGGGACTTGTAACAGATTTTGTTCGCCTGATCTGAGACTTCTCGATGGAGTATACGGTTGTAGCAGTTCAGTTAGGTAGCTAGGTGCTTGGTTGCATAAAGCTTTGTACACAAATAACAGGATTTTAAACTCAGTTCTGAAATTAACGGGCAACCAATGAAGAGACCGCAGAATTGGGGTGATATGATCACTTTTACGACTATTTGTGAGGAATCTTGCGGCGGCATTTTGCACCAATTGCAGACGAGCAGTTTGGGATTTCGAGATACCACAGTAAAGTGAATTGCAGTAATCTACACGTGTGGTGATAAAAGCATGAACAGCCATCTCAAGAGTTTTAGGATTAAGAAAAGGTTTGACTTTTGACAAGAGACGTAGGTGATAAAAGCTAGAGCTTATTACCGAGGAGATTTGTTTATCAAAATTTAAAGACTCATCCAGTAGAACGCCCAGGTTCCGAACACTTGAGGATCTAAACGCCGCTAGTCTGCCTAGGTCGAGGGTGGCAGCCTGGGGATTAACAGTGGGCCCGAAAACAATGATCTCTGTTTTGGTTTCATTTAAAAACAAAAAATTTTGGTCCAGCCAAAATTTTACTTCATCTAGACAGCCTAAGAATGATGAAAGGGCAGAGGGATCATTTCTCTTGATTGGAACGTACATTTGGGTGTCGTCTGCATAACAGTGAAAAGATACCCCATGTCTTCTTAGAATGTTGCCCAGCGGTAACATGTAGAGGGAAAAGAGAGAAGGCGCTAAGATAGATCCTTGAGGAAGGCCACAGGTTAGAGGCGCAACAGACGATGAGCAATTTCCTAGCTTTACTCTGAAAGTACGACCCGAGAGATAAGACTGGAACCACTGGAGGACGATGCCTTTTAGCCCCACATCACATTCTAGTCTGGATATCAGGATGGAGTGGTCGATCGTATCAAAAGCTGCCGACAGATCCAGAAGAATAAGAGCCACAGAATCACCAGTGTCAGTGGAACGATAGATGTCATTTAAAACTCTCAGCAGAGCAGATTCAGTACTGTGAGCAGACTTAAAACCAGATTGAAATTTTTCAGAAATATCATTGCGTTTTAGAAAGATCTGGAGTTGGTCAAGCACAACTTTTTCTAACACCTTAGAGACAAAAGGCAAAACAGAGATAGGGCGGAAGTTATTTAACACGGTAGGATCCAGTGAGGGCTTCTTGAGTAACGGAGTGACAGTGGCCTCCTTAAGGGCAGCAGGGATAGAGCCGGTAAGGAGGCACTTATTAATAAAGGAAACCAATCCTGGCCCAACTGAATCAATAACTAATTTAAGACACTTAGGAGAGATGATGTCTAGAGAGCAGTACGAGGGTTTCATCTTAGTGATAATTTCTTTAAGGAGATTCAGACTGATTGGCTCAAAAGCATCCCAGGTAACAGAATTCATCAACTGACTAGTTTCAAAGCGGCTGGCATTGCATCTCAGGTTAGATATTTTGTCAATAAAAAATCTCAAGAAACGTTCACATAGCTCATCCGAAACACCATTCATTACATTTACCGGAGGATTTAAAACCGAGTTGATAACAGAAAATAAAACCTTTGGTCTAGAGTGGTTTGCCATTATCATGTCAGAGAAGTGTGCAGCTTTTGCCGCCTTTACAGCATTCTGGTAGGTCGACAGACTGTCTTTAAATAACTGAAGTGAAATATGTAGCTTGTCCTTCTTCCATTTGCGCTCAGCCTTTCTACTAGCTTGTCTTAGTCGCCGAATATCCACGTTGAGCCATGGTTCAGATTTAGGTTTAGGTTTAAAGGGCTTAAGCGGAGCAGTTTCATTAAGGGCATTAAACCAAGTGGAGTATAACAGACCGAGATGTTGGTCGGCATCTAATTCCAGTAGTGGAGAGTTCAGAAGCAAGTGTGTGGAGGAATTCATAAAGTGCTCGTTAAAATTTGAGCCAAAATGAGGAGAGTATGATCTAGACAGTCTTACATCTGCACTGGTGGTTTGAGCAATGCAAGGAAGAGATGTAGAAAATAATATTGGCTTATGGTCCGAAAGCATAAAATCAGATATCACAACATCACTAATCACCATCTCATATGAAAGCACAAGGTCCAAAGTGTGACCCTTAACATGAGTGGAATCATTTATCCACTGGACTAGGTTAAAAGATTCAATGAGGCTGAGAAAATCTTTTGACAGGGTGTTAGATTGGCAACAAACGTGAATATTAAAATCACCCACCAATAGAAAACGGTCATAGGTTGTGGTGATATTACCAATGAATTCTGTAAATTGCTGAATGAAGTCTTTGAGTGAATGTGGAGGACGGTAAATCACCCCTAATAAAATAGGGCCATTCCAGTCTAAATGAAGTAGTTGAGCTTCAAAACTTGAAAAAGCACTGACAGGAACCGGCCGGCAACGCACAGAGAAAGAGTTTTTAAAAATAGTCACGATCCCGCCCCCTCGTCTGTTCGGACGGGGGGAGTTAAAAAACGAACAGTCAGTTGGCACTAGTTCAGAAAAAGGGGTTAGATCACCAACCGTAGTCCAGGATTCCGTGATGAACATGAAATCCAAACTATGAGAGGAGAAGAAATCGTTGAGCAGGAAGGTTTTGTTGACCAAGGATCTAGCGTTGATCAGTGCCATTTTGGGCGGATGAATCACATCGGGGAAAACTCCGCCTTTCTTCAGAGAACGTAGATTTCCGGGATTCACACCGTTTTGCCGATGACAGCGGCCAACCCGAGGTAAGCGAACCAAATGGACAGACGAAGATCGCGGGGGAATGATAGATTGAAGCCACCGATGAGCCAGGGCTCGCGGTCGCCGGGCAACGTAATTGCCGTCCGACATATGGTTTGGATTTGCATCGATCCTGAGTCTTTCAGTGGTTTTCAACCTGATGATGCGTCCACCCCGACTCCCGCGTTTCCTTCTGCGTTTCCTTCGTGAAGTGATAAGCGGCCACTGGCGAATACATTCCAATGTATGCGTAGTGGTGTTTCTGTGTGTTTGATTAAAAACGTGCGCTACATCCTGCTTGTAAAAGTCCATAAAAGAGGTGCGAATGTTCAGGAGTGACTGTCGGTCATAGACCAGACGTGTGCAGCAATTTGAAGCCCAGATAGACATCCATAGATAAATCCATAAAAATAAGTACGAGAGAGACCGACGGCCAGCCGAACACACAGGCGCCATCTTCCTCACTCAACCAACCAGGTATTGTTGAGGTTCAGTCCAACACGCCAGGGATGTACTCCGCTCTGGTGGAGAGCAGGTGAGTGTGCGCCCACAACAGCAGTTGCCGTGCCAGGCTCAGCAGCTGCGCCGAGCACACCCCACCCTGGCGGTTATGTAGGCTGCTGCAGCCTTGTTGTTGGTGCGGACCAGCATGTGCTGGTTGCGCAGCAGAGGGGCGAAGTGTCAGACCACTTTCCACACCATGAGAAGCTCCAACACATTTATTTGGAGAGGCATGTGGCCACAGACCGCCCACCACCTGAGAGAGGCAGGTCCCAGCAGCTCTGCCAGAGCGTCCTGGCTCTGGCAGAGCCGCACTCTCAGGTGGGAGGAATCCAGCATCCCGCCCAGGTAGGTGAGTTTCTGGAAGGGAAAGGGAGCGCTTTTTTTCCCCAGTTCACCGTGAAAACCCAGGCGAGACAGGTGTGCAACAAGCATGGCTGTCTGCACCAACACCTCATCCCAGGACTGTGCCAGCAGCAGCAGGTCGTCCAGGTAAAACAGGACTCTGATGCCCACCCGCTCCAAGGCAGTCTCGATGCACTTGGAGAAGGTGCGTGGGGCCAGAGAGTAACCAAACGGGAGGCGGTTGTACTGATATTGGACGCCCTGGAAAGAGAAGCACAGGAAACCCGTCATTCCAGCAGACAGCTTCCTGTCTACTGGGATGACGGGATCCTTCAGGTCAATGCAGGTCAGCCAGCCCCACTGGTGCATACACTCCAGCACCTGCTTCACCGTCAACATGCGAAAAAGTCTGTCCTTAATCACTTTGTTGAATAGTGACAGATCCAGGATAGGTTTCATCGCCCCGTCTTCTTCCTGACCAGGAACTAGAGGAAGTAGATTCCTGGTTTTTCTCCCCCAGAGGTACTCTGGAGATAGCCTGCTTCTTTAGGAGCTTCTGGAGCTCCAACTGGAGGGTGGCGATCTGAGCCGGAGACAATGAACACACAATTCTCCCCAAAATGTCACTGGAGCTTCCCGGAATGGGTAGTTAGACCATGAGCAGGTCTTGGGAGTGCGAGCCTAGCCAGCAGCCTCGGGCCAACCGTGGTGCTGCACTGAAAAAATTTAAACCTTGGATTAATTTGTAAAAACTATTGAAGTAATCAATCACATGAAATATCTGACATTAACTCAATGTAAAATGATTTATTCAGTTTAACCTGAAATTTTTAACTCCATGCAACCACTTTTTGAAGGTTGGAGCAATCTAATTATTTTTAGGTTAGAGCAAATTAATTATTTTAGGTTGTCTCAAATAAAAAATACCAGTTGTCATTATTTAAAATGTATAGTAAATCAAAATTTAAAAAGTAAAGCTTAAATACATTTTGATAAGTGACTACTTACAACACTTTCCTTTAGAACATATTTATATTTATTGTTCCATAAATTCATACCATCTGTTTCAAATGTATGAAGATGAACAGTCTCCTTCAGCTGAACACCAGAAAAGGACTACTGATTACGTCAAAAGAAAAATCATGGAGCTGTGAATAGTAGCAACTAGTAATAACTCCTAAGACATCATGCAGCCAGCACCTGTGGCCAATTTACCTGTGTACGTTTTCTGATGTGTGAGCATTCCTATCAGCTAAACACATGGTAAATGTGCTGGCCTAGTGGTTGATATTTTAACCCTGCTGCACACACTGCCCCAGACTAATCTGTGAGGTCTTTGGATGTGATAACATCTGTCTATGGCAAAAAAGTTACTCTGACATTACAGATTGTGGTGGATCAGTGTGTGCTACAGGATGAAAATATCTACTACTAGTGCAGCATATGAACCATGTGTTTTGTTCATCTTTAAATAAACTAATTTGAACGTAATGGCTAACACAAAAATACTGTAAGCCCACAAATTTTTTCATTTAAATTGTCATTTGATGACTTCACATTTGTAGTAACAAAGAATTAGGAAGTTCTTTCCTGACAGAACACATTCCACCTGTACACCTTTTAAATGTTTCTGAAATCACTTTCAGCTGAACACAAGAGACAAATCCTGGAGTTCCACTATTCAATGTCTAAGACACTGACAGAGTTTCTGATTGAGAGCTGTACATCTTATTAACTGTATTCATTTAAATGAATACAGTTAATTTAGATGTAATAGCTCAAACAAAAGCTCTGAGCCCACAAAGTTGGTAAGTATCACTCACTTGATGGAATCACAAGTTAAGAACATTGAAAAGGCAAAAAATATTTGAAAGAACACATTTTTAACATCAGCAGTTATCCAAATTATTTTCCTCAAGGATTTTAAGATGACTTGTGTGAACCTCGTCAGTTCTCAAGATAGAAATCTCCTTTCCCTCTCCCTTGGTCTGAAAATCTAACTTATCTGCCGTACAAATCTGTGCAAACGCTGCAATCATTGTCTCCAGTTGTCCAGAACACTCAGCCTACTTCCGTATGTGATGCTGGCAGTCACCAAACTTGGGCCACCACATTTGTAAATACTGAAGTGAAAATGTAGCCATGTACAGTAAGTGCAACCTCTTATAAAATGATCTAAAGTCTTTACTGTAGAAACACCATAAAATAGGACCTTTTGCATAACTTCAAAGTTGGATTTCAGCCTTTTCAGATTTTTTAGTTTGAGTGTGTAAATGAGCCCAAAGAACATGGCAACAGCTGTTCCAACCAAAGGCAACTCGTTCAGGACCCCCTTCAGTGTCAGTCATAATGTCTTTGGGTGGATGGAGAGGATCATCTTTCCCAGTGATAAAGATCGCCATGGTTGCCAGCTCCAGTTTTTCAGCCTCATTTTTCTGCATCTCCTGCAAAGAAAATCAAGTAAAGAAAATTGTTTTTTGTGTCAGAAATCTCCAGATTTAATGTCAGATCATAATGCTCTAACACACTGTAAACTTTCAAAACTTAAATAGGTGCAAATCAAACAAATGTTTATTACAAGGGGTGTGACTTAAGAGCAAAACGTGACCAGATTTATTACAGGTTAAAAGCCATCTCACTGACTTTTTTGTTTGGGACTGTAAGCTGGTGCTGAAGTTAACGTATGTGTGGATTTGTGGTGAGATTTCTGCTTGATCAGAAGTGTTTCCCTTAGTTTTGTTTTCCACCTGCTTGTCAGTCATCCTATCCCAAATGGGTTTCTGTGTCTGTCATACTGTCTCAAGGGGATACTACCAGCAGAGCACTAACAAAATGCAAAGTTGAGTATATGCAGATAGATTTAAAAATATTAATAAATCCTCATTAATGATGGTGTTATTCTCATTATATTACGCCTTTTTTTGGGACATGGCAGAGAACCCAGATATGTGGGAGAGACTCTGAATGTGCAGAACATATTAAACATGAGCAGAAAAGCAACTGAAACACAGGAGCAATTAAACTTTTTTAAATTATGAAATGAATGAATTTCTCATTAAGGTAAAAAAGTGCCACATGCACATTTAAAGAGGTTGCTTCCCCAAAAAAAAGATTTAAAAAGGAGAAAGTCTGAATCATGACTCAGCAGCGATATTACATGAGAAAAGTTGATCTACAGGAGAAACATATCTGAAAACAACACAGAAAGCCTGAGAGCTGCACTGACTAAAATTCTGTTATAGTTTTAGGTTTTGAATTGTCACTTGCCACATCAATTGTGTTTCTGTTCACTTACATAAAGACATTTCAACCATAAAGTGGTGCTGAAAGAAATCACTAGGATGTTGGAAATTAAGTGTTTAATGCTTATATAACTCAGACTCAAAGATTTCTTATAAATAGTGTTAAAATCTCGTCTCATGACCTGAGTTTCTTGTCACACCCCTATTTATTACATACGGCAAGGAAAACCTTGACTGTGTTGGTCTGTGGGTGTTAACTGTGTGAGCCAGTGAGAGAGATGCCCTCACCTTCTTTGATAAGGTGCTCAACAGGTTCGCCCAAGTAGATCAAAGATTAGAGGATGCATTCTCTTCTGATGGTGATGTCCAGTCTGAGAAAGAACAGTTACTATTAACTAAAATGAAACATTTACAAAATACTTCATCTAAAACATGCAAGGTCCTGGTGGTCTTTCACAACTCCTCCCTTGCTCCTGATGACCTCTAGCAGTTTGGTGGAGTGCTTGTCTCCAGAGAAACTGTTGTGATTCGCATGAACTCGGCATTGATCGGAAAAAATAAAAACAGCAGAGCATACAGAAAGAAGTCTAGAAATTTTTAGATGGTGAAATTCTTAAATCTAGAAACACAAAACTGAATCACCAGTACAGTTTAAACAAATTATCTACTACAAAAACAAAGAAGATTCTCATTAATGCATTACCAGTTAGGTCTGTAAAAAGTTAAGCTGTAAACTATAAGACATTTGCTCACATGGATTGAACTGGTCTTAGACAAAGTCCAATGCCTGTGAAACTACACTGCAGGCCAACAACTAAGTGAGTATGTCTGACAGCATTTTTGAGCAGGGTGTCAGCCTAGATTGGCTTCTAACGTACGCCTCATTTCCCTTCTGTAGTTGACATTCTGTGTCATAGGAGAAAGGTGGCATTGGGAACACTTTTGGCCACTACTGTGTTCTTAATGACTTTGAGGAACAGCTGCTAAGAAGCGTGTTATCTGTATGTGACGATCCTGAAAAGGAGTCTTCACGGTCCTGTCCACCTAAAGGGATGCTACTCCTTGTGAGATCAACTGCGTACATGGCAATAGTTGTGTTATCAAGATCTAATTGGAAATCTTTGATAATTATAAGATACTTAATTACAGTTGTGGAGTTCACAGATATGTTCCCAAAAGCAGTGTCTTATTGCAGCCTTATGTGTCCTCCTAATCCACATGCATTCTTCCCCTCTTCGATGTGCTCTTCCAGTGAGTCAGGAATCCCGTTGCGTAGCGCCATTCTTGTTGTCTTCTTCCAAGATGACCAGCAATTGAACAGTTGCAAATCTGCCATGGTGCCCTGAGTGACAGAGACATAGGAAGACGGAATGAGAGAGAAGCAGCTTTACACTTAATAGCCAATGGCTAATGATGCTGATTTAGATTTTTTTTTTCTTCTCCTAACCGACAGGAATAACCTGCATGGATTTAATTTGAATTGTGTTCGACTTTAAGAACACCTTTGCACTTTCTAGCAAAAAAAAATGTCCAGGCCAAGAAACAAACACACTAACTTAAAATTATAAATTTTTGAACCAACTTCAGGCCTGATCATCACTCATTTTTGGAATGGGTGTGAGGGTTTTTCTTGGAAGTTCAACCCCAGCTCTTAGTAAGTTTATCATAAACTGTGTTGCCAAAATACAGACCCATAAGGACAAAATGTACCCATTGTAACCACTTTTTGTTATTTTTATCCCACATTCATATTTACATTAAATCATGCATTCTATTACATCAGGCTTTCAAAGTACTATTACTGAGCATTTAGTATACATAAAATAATAATACAATTTTTGTATCATTATTTATTTAGGACGAGTAATAATCATTGGCAGGAGCTTCCAAATAGGTTGCACAGCAGGGACACTGATTGAAAGCTGCTTCTCTGAAGTTGAAAGTGAAACAAATGATTTAGAAATTAGCCATCAAAGTGTGTTAGCTACTAACATCATGCACAAGAATACCAAACATTTAACATAAATAGACAGGCCTATTTTCTTCATTGGGTAACATTTTGGTACATTTCTAGAACATGCAAATGCAATGCAGCAAACTAACAACATTACCAGCTAGAATTAGCTCATCCTTATTATTTATCCTGTACTTTAATATTATGGCTGATAAATACTGAAAACAAGTTAATTAGGAGGGTGACTAAAAAACAAAAAAACTCAAATGCCCTTATGCAACTGACAACAGAAATGCCGTTTGCATCTTAAACCTGAGGATTAAGTAAGTTACCACATGTCAAAGTTGGTCTCACTACAATGAAATAACTATAATGGGGACTAACATCATCATCACAAAATAAAGCATGTCTTCCTCAAAAAAAAATTGCCTAACTTTGGAGCGTTATTTTCCCCCCTTCCCAACAAGCTAGCATGTCATGGTTGGCTAACAACAAACATTTTCTAGGCTCTTCGCGCTAATGCTAAGTTATTGAAACACTCAGCAGAGCAAATGCACTTCAAATCAGATAAAACATATCAACATAAAATTAGCTGTAACGTTAACGTTACACCTGGTGACATTAGTTAATGTCAATGCCCCCACAAAATACATTTGGAAATGATAGCTTGCATTTCTTAGTTAGCTAGCGAACTGTGATAACATTACCCACCCACTACCCGAGGAAAGCTAACGTTTAAGCTAGTTTGAATGAAGAATGCTAACGTTAGCGCTAGCTATTATGGCCAGAGTCAAGGCCAGGCAGGTTTAATCTTAACTTACTTGGACAAACACGTTAACGGTAGATAAAGTTTATTTTTTCCTCACCTGTATCAATGTTGCTGGTTCTTTTCGGTTGTTCTGTGTCAAACCCAACAATGCGCAAATCATGCTTAATCTAATAAAAATGCTCTGATCAAATGAATAAATTCAGTTTGATGTCCTGCTGAAAGTTTATGTTGTATACAAATAAAAAAATAGGTAAAACATAAAATAAAATGTTTAGTTTAAATGAAAAAAAAAATAATTTTTCGCTATTGGAGGGAAAAAATACACGTTAAATGAACAGCAATGTTACTTTTTTTAGTGTGGCGGTCCTTCTTGTGGCCGCGGCAGTTTCACCGGGGAGCAGCAATAGGACAACAAGGAGCGTGTGGGTACCCCGTCCACACAAAGCGTAATGTCCGCTTTCGTGGGCTCATATGACACAGCCTGCCTTCAGTGAACAAAGGGGTATCCCTGGACGCACAGAAGGGCCGTGTCGGTGAAGAGTATCTGTACTTCTGTGCTTTTACCACTGCCTTTAATTAAATCACACTGCCGATGTTTGATTAATATCTTACACTCACTTTAACTTTTACTGTCCTGTTTTATTTTCTACTTAACTATTTAAGTTATTTTTGTCTTTGTTGTATTTCCCATATATTTTTTTATATTATGTTGATTTTATGTTTTCTGTAAAGCACTTTCAATGGCCTTGTTGCCTAAACTTGCCTTGCCTAAAATGGTTCCACACACAGAATTATGGTCTGAAATTCTAAAACAATAATAACAATTTATTTTCTTATATAATAAGGATAATATATCAACCACCAATATATCTACATTGCTAAAATCTGAATGTTAAATAGGTTAAAATAGTGTAACTGCTTTATGAAATAATTTCAAAGTTCCACTAATAAGAGCTCTAACAGGAAGATATACTTTTTTTATAATTGTTAAATTTATCAAGACTATTAATGTCAAGTCTTACCTGGAATCAGTTGAACTTTGCGAGCATCGTAGAGCATTCCTAGAGTGAAAGGTCGACCCAGAGCGGCAACCTCCGTGGTATCAGCCATTTCTCCAACCTACTGACAAATGTCATGTAAGTGACCACACAGCCTTCAGCATGTTGAAGAATTATTGTGAGCTAGCTGTCAGGTGCGAGGAAGAAGGTTTTCAGAGACTGATAAAGTTTTACACAGCAACGTTTAATGAGACTTGACCAAAGAGAAATAGTATCAGCATCCAACATGTGTCAAATGCCAACAGCAAATTTGAAGGATAACATCTTTTGGTCCCTTTTATGTTTTTGTCTTCCCTCTAGTTCCTGTAGGTTTCCCTATTACGCCCATCTTTAGCTGGCCTTAACCTAGAGCAACTAACTTATCTGAAGTTTAGACTTTGTCATATTGGAATCTATCACTATCCATGAGTTGTAATCTGTGGAGCCAGTGAGTTCTTGTAAAACCATTCTTGTAGCACTCAACCTTGTAAGATTCCCAGAGAATACTGATATCTGCTCGCCTGACGCCTGAGCTACTGTCTCTACCTGATCAGTCTATTGTCTCCCTGACAAGGACAGGTACATGTGAGAAACACCTAGAGCTGGGAGGTTCGAAAACACTTGTGGTGTCAGCTAAATTACTCTAACCTTTCCTTGTTTCATCAACAAATCCCCTTAAGAAATATTCTCAACACAGTATTTTACTTAAGTACTTTCTTAAGCAATATGAAAAACACAGTCAACTCTCAGTAACGCAGAGTTCAGTAAAAGTCTAAACATTTTTGTCTTCCTCTGTCTCTGTCCGCCCACTTTGTCCTCACCAGGTGAAGTTGTGTAGATCAGATCTGACTTCCAACTGCAGCTGCAAATCTCATGTTGTGTGACGCAGCGAGTATATCCTCTTCAGATCCCCTCCTGGTCTGACTCCTCCCATGACATGCCACCACACGCCACCACTTCCATTTTAATAGGTGTGAGGCCTGCAGGCAGATTGTTGTATCCTTAAATGAGACAGGCAACAGGTAGCGTGCTTCCTTCCTTCACTTCTGCCAGATTTCCACCTGTATTTATTGTATTTCGTCTCGACGGACAAAATAATGGGCTGAAATTCTACAACAATAATGCATAATGATTTACTACTGGATATCAGCACAATCTTATTAAGAATCACAAAGCTTTCTTACAAAAATATTTTACTGTGCGTATTGTGATGACCCCTCATTTGTCTTTACTGTTCCTGGCCTGCTTGTGTTTTCTCCCACCTTTCAAGAAGTGGGCTGCAGACTGCAGCAGTAGCTGCCATGATTGCAGAGCTAGCCATCAGAGAGATTGACTGAGTGCTGTTTTGTTTTTAATTGGAGCTCACACACCAGTGGCCAGCCTTTGCCACATTGCTCAGTGCCTTTCACTCCAACAAGCACAGCCGGTCCTGACCTCCCTGGGGCCCTAAGTAAAATTCTGCTATGGGGCCCTTCTACCTGAATTGTGAGCCATGTAAACAATTCGCCATTGCTGCATAGTCACACCTGACTCCCCAGTGCTCTCACTACAATCATCCCTCCTGTAAAACAGTCTGTCCCTCTAATAAGCCTCAATGGAAACCTCTTCTAGGAAAGTCCAGAGCTACATCTCTGGCTGGGCTTGTACTGGCTGAGGCTGGATGTGAATGAATTGTGCTTATACTGGCTGATGATCCAGCATCTCCTCGACTGACAAATGTCAGCGTAGCACCTGTAAATTATTAAAAGCAATACTTGCTAGATATTAATGTTATCAGCTGCATCCGGCCCATTCAAACTGGCTCCCCATGTTTCCTTTAACACATTTTCAAAGGGAAAATGCTATTTATACTATGCCTTGACTAAATACATGATGCTAATTAGATGTGCATCCGTATTGCCCTGTCTGCCCAGCTAATCAGCATTTTAATGGTCAATAGTTAATGTCACTGCATTCCATCTTGCATTAGTCCAGATTTGTAACTACACCTTGACTGAGAAGTAGATACAGATACAATGATGAGCGCCTATGAGGTGCGCCATCACATCAATGTATTGTCTGTACTGGCTGGCACCATAGACTGTATACACTGTAGGTTGGCACAGATGTTGCAGCTAAAATGCGCAAGTTAAATTCCGTGCATGCTCGTATGAATGCGTGTTCATGTGCGACGCGGTTATATTTTTCGAGCTGCAGTTTATAAACACTGTTTATCAAATGTAATATACAGTTGGGTTTCACTCTAACATTGTTCAGAGACAAAGTCTGGCAAACAACCAAGACACAGACCAACCGAGAGATGCGCTGCACAGCTTGGTTAGCAAAACAAGAGAGGAGAGATTCACTGCAGCTGCACATTAACATTACTGTGATCTGCTGACATCAAAGTCGTGGTTCAAATTACGGTGGGACAACAGTACAGGGGGGTCTTTCTTACCTGTAATTGT